CAGGTGAGCGACTACGACCAGGACAGTGCCACAGACCACAGCCAAAGCCAGGTGAGCGACTACGACCAGGACAGTGCCACAGACCACAGCCAAAGGTGAAAGGTCTGTCTGTACCTGCTGGTGAGGACCCCCTCCCCCCTCCAGAGGCTGAGCCCCTCCCCCCTCCAGCAGCTGAGCCCCTCCCCCTCCCCCACCCTCCAGAGGCTGAGCCCCTCCCCCCTCCAGCAGCTGAGCCCCTCCCCCACCCTCCAGAGGCTGAGCCCCTCCCCCACCCTCCAGAGGCTGTTGGGGGAGGACTGTGGGGGATCATGTCTAGGCCCACAGTCCTGTGGAGCCTGGGTTCCAGCTTGCAGCCTCCCGGGTGCCCACGGACTCCATTTCCCCCAGCTGAGCTCCTCTGCCCTCCTCCGGACCAGGTGCCCGCCGGTGCCCCGCAGAGGCCGGGCTCTCACCCCTTCCCTCTGTTCTGGGCCTGGAACGGGGGCAGGTGGGCCCTGTATATCCCACGCTTGGCCCAGACTTAGGAGTTCTGCCCCACCCCCAGAGAAAGCTGTCCAGACTCCAGTCCTACCCTGCGGCCTCATTTGGAAATGGGGTCTCTGTATAATTTGCAAAGATGAAGGCATTAGGGTGAACCCTACGCCCGAGGGGTCAGACAGACGGGCATGGGGGGCAGGGGCAGGGCCTGCAGACAGGCAGAGAGGAGCGATGGGGGGCAGGAAGGCCCCCAGCCTTCAGGGAGCACTCACACCACACAGCCTGAGTTCAGGCTCTGGCCTCGGGGCCTGGAAGGACAGGTCAGCTGTTCAAGGCCGTCTGTGTGGCCGCGCCACAGCGGAGGCTGCCCCTCCTTTCCCGACCCCCCCCCCGCACCGGGGGCCGGTGGCACCCACCTGTGTGGGTGCGCGCGTGGCCCTGGAGCAGCCAGGGCCTGGAGAAGGCTTTGCCGCAGACCTTGCAGATGCAGGGCAGGGTGTGGGTGCGGATGTGCATCTTGAGGGCGCCCAGGCTGGCGTACACCTTGTCACAGTACCTGCAGGTGAAGGGGCGCCCGGCCGGCAGGTGGCAGTGCAGTTGCTGGTGCCTGGCTAGGCCGGCGGGTGTGTGGTAGGGCCTGTGGCAGTGGGTGCACTCAAAGCCCCCCGGGACTCGAGACATCCCCTGGTCCTTGAGAGGTTTGTCTGGGGCCCCGTCCCCATCGGGACCTGGGATTGGGGGCCACTGCGTGGGCGGCGGCAGCAGCAGGGGCAGATTGAGGTGGTTCAGGCTGGCTCTGAGGGCCACACTAGGGGTGCTGCCAGCCCGAGGGCCTGTCCAGCTGACGTCCAGGGGTTCTGGTCGAGAGGGCCCCAGAGCCTCCTCGTGGCACGGGAGGAGGGGCAGGGAGAGGCGGGGGATGGCGGAGGCGCAGTTCCAGGGCTGGCTGGGCACGGGAGGAGCCTCCCTGTCCGGGGAGTGGACGGGCACCGCCGGCCCTCTGCGCTCAGAGCAGGCACCATCGGCTTCTAGAAGAGCAGAGGAGAGAGAGGGCAGCCCTGTGAGGCCGGAAGCCCTCGTCCCCTGCCTGCAGGCTTCTGCTCGTGTCTCGGCACAGTGGCCATCCGCACTGCCACGGAGGGGGACCTGTGGCCTCTCACAAGAGGCCGAAGCGCCGCACGGCACAGTGGCCCAGCAAGCCTGGAGGCTGGACCCCAGCTCCTTATCAACAACCGCCACAGGACCCCAAACAGCTCCGCACAGCGAGGCACGGGGGCGGGGGGCACACCTGCAGTCCTAGAATTCTGGATACTGAGGCAGGCGGAGCTTGAGTTCAAAGCCAGACAGGGATGCACAGCAACACCTTGACTCAGAAGGAAAACAGTCTTCACCTGGTAGAGGTGTCCCGGCGGGGGTAGGTCTGTCTGCAGAGTGCCTAGCACCCCACCTCCGGGCTGTGGGCAGTGGCTGGGGCCAGCCCTGAGGCTCCCACACGGCACCAGCAGGAGGTCAGGACCCAAGGCGCCTGGAGTGGAGCCAGCCCCCTCGCGCCCCCGCAGCAATTAGCCTCCCGGTCATCCAGCGTCTCCTCAACGCGTCACGGTGTGCTGGTCCTCTGCGCAGCACACACAAGCCCACTCAGCCAGGTGGACTGCTGGGGCTGGCGGGTTGGCAGGCTCAGACCTGGTTCTGGCGTGGCTAGTTCTTGGGCAGTGGCTCCTGTATGTGTGGCCAGCACACTATGTGTTTGAACTGGATAGTGCCCAGAATCCCCTACCCCCACAAGGAAGGTCAGTCTACAGATAAGAAGCAAATTTTGGATTCCCTAAGGCCCCCATCACTAAGCATCCTTCTCCCGATGTGTTGAATTAAGCCTCTGGCCCTGCTTTTGCTGCTGTGCTGAGACTTTGGGTAGAGAAAGACAGCACAGAATAAAGGAATTACCCCATATTTGATCAGGAAAGAGTATCCCAAACCTATAAAGAATGTTTGCAAGTCAACAATCAAAACACAAAGACAATTTCAAAATTGGGAAGAAAAAAATAAGTTAGGAAGAAATAGAAATAGCTCTTTCTCCTAAGAAGGAAGACACAAAAACTGTCAGCAAGTATACAAAAAGCTATCTAATATCATTAACCAGTGGGACAACGCCAATCAAACCCATGGTAAGGGGATTCTTCACAGCCACCTGGATGGCTGGAATTCAAGAAGAAAAGGACAGAAGCCAGTGCTGGGGAGGATGTGGAAAAAAGGAACAGCAAAGCCAAAGACCCTCTGACGTCCCCTGCCCTCACCCCTGCCCCCCTAGTGTCCTGAACTATACAATCAGGTTTCTTAGGTGACAGAGTGACAACTGAACAAGCCAGCCAGCTGCAAGTCCCAGGCCCCACGTTCACAGCCCAGGACTGCAAATAAACCCACGAAGTCAGGTTTCTGTCCTCCAGAAAAGCTGTGCGGGTATGGGGGGGGAGGTTACAGGTAAATGATGGCCGTGACTGGGCTCTGCAGACTGGAAGATTCTCTTTTTTTTTTTTTTTT